ACCCCGAAAACAGCAGGAACGCACGATAGTAATCCATGCGCTAGCACAAAGAATTCCAGAATATGCTTTTTCCTTTCACGGCAAGGCGGTACCATGCAGAAGTTATTCACAAAATAGTATGTACTTCGCAGCAGCCTGACGAGCTAACTATTCAGAAGGCGGGTATCTTGCGGGCTTATCGGCAAATAGCAAGGCAGCTATATGACGATCATGCTGCAGTTAGTGGCCTTGGTGATGGTGATGATTGTAATAATGATAATAATGATGCTGAGGGAAGAAATAGATTGCTGATGACGGTGGTCATGGTGACCATTCTGCTGACGGTGATAATGCTAATGATGGTGACGCTACCGGGGATGATGGTGATGCTGCTGCTGATGGTGGTGGAAAAGCCACTCCAAACATCGAAGCTTGAAGCCGCTTGAAGCCCGAAGCCAGGCACAGCGGGTCGAAGCCATCGAGCGCGCTTTGGCCGAAGGGCGGCAGCCGCCTCGGAAGGGCTCGCCGTGCCTTGGGCCTGAGAAGTGCCGAGGGCTTACTGAGATTTGAGGTTCTGGAGTGATTAAGAGAACTTAGGGTTTAGCGGGCTTGGGGTTCCGGGGCGAGGATCTAGTCGAGGTTTTCACTGGCCGCTCGCATGTTCGCTGTGCATGTCTGGTCTTGCTAGATGTGGTTTAACTGTCAATGTAGCCATGCAAGTCACCGAACAGCAGTTCACAATTCTAGGTCTCTTGTTGCTGCACCCTTCTCATGGTCTCGGGCCTGGAATCAACGTCACGATGTGAAGTGTGATAGGCCACAGCCCTGTCGCCGTTCTAGAGCGTTCCGTCGTAGGCCGAATTCGTGTACAAAGCACCCAACGAGAGTCCAAACTCCAATCCTAAACCCTGAGCCTCTTCATTCTGTTCTAAGCCCCGAACGAATCCCCACATGCAAGTCCGGAGTTGCGTGAGCATTAGGCCGGACGGTACAGCGTGACCCCGACCTTCCCCAGACTGCAGGGCCCGGGGTTTCAGCTATAAAGGTTAAGGCTTTGCCAATTTCAGACACATGTACCAAGAAATGAAGCAGGGGCTGGACAGTTGCATGCCATCAAGACGTGGGGCAAGAGGTTCGAATGCGCAGATAGATAAATATCGGCTTGATCGTACAGTTCTTCCGTAAAGACAACTTTGTTGATGTTATTTATGTTATTATCACTTGAATCGGTTCCTGTTCACATAATGGAAGCGGGTACATGCAGAAACCCAATGCCAAAGCCCCCAACCCATAAGGCAGTACATGGCGCCGGAACTCTTCCTCGACGGCGGCATCCACTCTTTTGCCTCGGACCTGTGGCCGGGAGTCTCAGGAGCTTGAGGGTGGCGAGGGTTTAGGTTCCGAAGGTTCCGAGGCGCTTCGGTATTCCAGCTGCTTGGTTCCGAGGCGCTTCGGTATTCCATCTGCTTGGTATCAGACACTTTCAGATCAGGAGCCGATTGTGAATGCAAGTTTTGGGCCAGAGGCTGGGATCCTGAGGTCAGCATAAAATGCTGCTGCTTTCGGGGCTGCCGGGTGACTGATCTCCGGACATAGCAAGGTATGAAGTTGCAGCCGCAAAGGCCGCAGCTCCATATCTTAAACGCCAGGCCCGCCAGGCCTTTTACTAAGCTGCAGATCGAGAAGCCCCAGCCCCAGCCCCGAGCCATTAATGTTCGGACAAAATGAAACTTGCGCCCACGCATCAGCGACTCGGACTCTCGGTAGTTGAAGCTGTTTGAGCGACTGTCTCCACATAAGGTCCCTGGGCTGCGTTCTCTTCGAGCTGCTGACTGGCGTGCCGCCATTCAGCTCTGTGTCTTGTCCGAGTCGCTTTGGGACATCTTGAAACCTCGTTGCGCATCTGCGAGCCATTGAACATGCACATGAACTCTACACATAGCCAGCTCTGGGCTCGTAGTCTGCTTGGCATTCATGTGTTAGGAGTCTCGGGCTGCATCCCGTGTTTCAACATAGATTCCGGATTACAGGGTCAGAGCTTGGATTTCTCGGCTATATTCAGATATGATGTACGCAGGATGTACGGTTTTGGGAACTAGGCCCGGGTTTCATGAAAAGAGCTTGCAGCTTGAATGTCATCCGCAATGTACTCAGTCCCTTTGTGTCTGTGTCTCTACGTGAGCATGCGTGTGTGTGTGAGAGTGAGAGTGAGAGAGAGAGAGAGAGAGAGAGAGAGGGAGAGAGTGTCCACGGGGTCACCCCTAGAACTCTTCCTCCGCCGATGCCACTTCACCCGAGAACCATTTTGAGTATGAGAGGCAACGCTACCGGCTCGTGGCGTGGGTCGACTTGGTCCCCACCGTCCAACGCAGTGGTGAGGCACCCGCCAAGACAGAACATCGAACCCACCATCGTGATCTACAAGACCTTGGCAGGACAGCCCAGCCGGGGAGTTCTCCCCGACGCCACACACGTCACAATACACCCGGCCGGGGAATGGATCGCAACAGCACGATTCGAACTTGGATTCGCTCGGACTCCCAGGTTCTGGCTCGTAGTGGTGGACTATGCACCGCCACCAGCGAGTGATCGCATGCCACTGCGGACTGGTGAGAATTTTTGGCTGAAATGGCGAGGTCAAGAACGTGTTTGGCAACGGCGCCCCAGGTTCGACAACGACGTCAATGTCCTCGGGGGGTTCCCGACAATCCCTGCAGCTGAGACCCCTCGCCCACCAACGCCACCACAACGACGTGATCCCACGACTGCCCAGAGAAGCAGCCAAAGGAGACTCAACCCGCAGAACTTTGTGGACACACGCCCCCTGCGCGGGAGGCTAGTCCCGCCAGCTGGGGATACACAGCAGCAGCCATCCTCATCGTCCTCGGGGAGCACCAACCTCGCCAATCCGTCCCAACCAACATCCGCAGCCTCACAACACAGCGCCCTTGAAGACCGACCTGCCCAACTACCACCGCAGCCGCAAGCACAAGCCCCCAAAACGAGATGGCAGAACAGTCGAGCAACAACCCAAGCTGCTGCAAGCAAGGCTAGCCGCCCCAACCTCCTGCAATCTCTTCTGGATCCGAGACGGAAACCAGCTGGCCCAGCGAAGACCCTCCACCGCAGGACGTTGATGGAAGCACATTGTTGCAGAGCCCAGGTCCAAGAGCAAGTCCAGGCGGGAAGAGGACCACATCCCCAGACACAAAGACAACCACAACGACAGCCACCTCGGCCGCTACGACTACTACAGCCGAGGCAACTGTGGAAGTCCTGGAAGCTACGTCCCTCATGCAAAAAGGGGGGGCGCCCTCCTCGAATACTGGTGTACCTTCGCGACGAGATGCAAGCAGCAGCGAAACAAAATATGCAGCACCAACTCACCCTGTACCCTGCAACCGGCCAACGACACGCAATGGTTCTCCGTTGCCGCCAACTTCGAAGGGGAAGTCACAGTTAGCGGACTACTTCGGCAACTTCAGAAAATTCTCCACGAGATGCTACAGCAATCTTTTTCGCTGCCGAACGAGTACCTTACGCCTGCTACTACCTCTCCAAGCTCCAGAGCACCAATGAGCAGCAACTACGACCACCAAGCGGCCATCGGGGGAAACCCCGCCCAAGCAGATGTGCCGGGGCCCACAGCTATGATTTTCTGCTCACTAACGCTTTCGTCGAGGCTGAAGCTGCACTGCAGAGCTTGGCCCAGCATCACCATGAACCAACTCGGCGGCACTTGGTCAAAGAACTACGACGAGCCGAAGCCTTGCTGCAAGACGGCCGAGCAATCTTCAAGAGTTGGTCGCGAGATCCCAACGCACCGGGAGCTCTCCCTGGAACAGCAGCCTCGCAGAATGCGCTAGACGGAGTCAACTTTTCTTTCCTGGCTTTAGAAGAACGAGGGGTTGCCAATCTGGATGAATCCCTACGTGCAGCTTGGGCGGCGGCCCAACGATGCAACAAGTACATGGATGAGCTCCTGGAATGGATTCAAAAACAGTTCCGGGACAGCGCTGCAGGGGGCAGCCCCTCCCCGAAACGGAGGCGCGTGGAGCAAGCTACCGGCAGTGACTGCCGCCCTCGCTTCGGCCCAGACGACACAGAGCCCAAACCTCAAGACCTACTTCGAGTACCTGAACACCTATCTCCTGATGCAGCGGTACCTCCTGAAGCACGCCGACAACATGATCCTGTAGTACCACGCCGAGTGAAAGAGAGCCCTGAGCCTGGAGCCGCGCCATACAACATTTTGCGAGCACAACAAGTTCTAGAAGGGGTCATGCCTTTTACCGAGCAAGAGGTGGCCACGACCTTCCAGGAAGTGCATTCCTTGTTGCTGCAGTGGACCACCGCTCTGTGGGGAGAACCCATCGTCCTCACTGACAGCGCCGAAAGCAATGCCCAAGCTGGAGACTTCCAAGCCGACGCCCAAGAGGGGGCTTTGCCACCGACACTGCCGGCACGGAGCAGCTGTGAAGAAACGGAGACGGTGGAATCCCACCGGCGCCGAAGATTGCATGTCCTTAGAACGCCGTTGCCACCTTCTGTTCAGGTTCGCTTGACTTTGGTAGGTTCCCCGGTTTACTTTGGACGGTTTCCTGGGTTCTACTTCGGACTTGGTTTCGGGGATTTGGCTGAGCGGAAGCAGTTGATGGCGACGCCTTTTAACATTTGCCGGCAAGCCTTGAACATGCACATGTGCTGATCGTGGTCATTCCGTATGTAGTTGCTGATTGGGGGTCCTGGGGTCCTCTGATCCTGGATAAAGCAGTGCAGCTCAAACACGGCCACACACCTGGGAGTCTCCCAGCACAACCTGCATGTGTTCGGAGTCCCTGATTGCGTATGTGAGTGTGCTCTGACTGGCACTTAGGCTTTTTCGTATTGCAAGGGACCCGATCCATGGCCTCAGACTTCAGCAACGACTCTGGGAACAGCCCAGTGCAACCTGCTAGGCGATCGTTGGTGCCTAACGTCGTGATACTTGCCTCTGTCTCGGAGTTTAACGTTAACACGAAAGCAGGTTGCCTTGATGTTGCGTTGCATCTACTCTCACCCCTGACCCCGTAACATACGGGGGCGCTTGATGCGCGCGGGCGAGGGGCAACCCTCGTCTGCAGCCCTGGCGAAAGAAAGAGAGAGAGAGAGAGAGAGAGACGCCCCCCCACAATGACCCCGAATTCCCAATTCACTGCTCGATGGCGCCTGTGGCAGCCCGACCTAACCCGCATGTCTCAACGTTAGTGGGTCTTTTCCTCATAGCCGAAGGGATTTGCATGTCAGTGGCGCGTCCACACTGACCACTAGTGTCAACATCATCTGCAGACCCAGAACCTGTGCACCATGAGCACCATCTCCATTATCATGTCGTGAGTGTTACCAGGGGCCTTACCATTTTGAACCAAATCATCGTGACAATCATGATCATGGATGTCATGGTGGAACAACAAGAGGAAGGGAGAGTATAACCCGCACTAGCAATTGCCCAGAACAGAGCATCAGTTATGATGCAGATCGCGGGAGTGTGTGTGTGGGTGGTGCTTTGACATCTGAGAGTGTGAGATTCTCGTAGTGTTCCCGGTTTCCTGACGAACATAATGGTAACCACAGCGCTTGCGGCATTCGTAGGAACGCCTCGAACGTAAGAAGCCATGCGGCGAAGGAAGGGTTAGAAACAAAGCTCCCGGTGCCCTGCGGCCTAGAGAAGAAGTCTGAATCCTGTCAGAACCTAGGTGTCCCATCAGCAGCTGCAGCATCTCGTGCTCTCTGGGGAGCCTCCACCTGCGAAGGCTTCCTTCGACTTCGAGGACGAACTCGTGGCAGCTTGGGTTTACGGTTTATGCATTCAGGGTTCAGACCGCTCCGCTCCTTATCGAATGTTCCTGAGGTAGCCTTTTCAGCGGGTGGATTTGGCTCGGCTCAGGGTCGGCTGTATGGTGGCGCCAGGACCTGAAAGCGCAGCTGCTGCGGAAGTGGCTTGGCATCCGGGGTTTTGGCAAGGGAGAGTTCAGACTCTTTCCAAGCTTACGTTTCTTGAGCACATTCTGTTGGGCGCCGTGATTGCAGCAAGCCGGAAGCACCGATGAGAGTCATCCAAACTCTGACATCGCAGCGGAAAGTTTGCAGATACTCAGCGGCAGTATAGCTTAAGTTCGGAACCTCAACCCTTGGTCCCCCAAAATTTCGAAGCGTTAGTGGAGACTCCCGTCTCCAAGATCTCCGGTCAAACGGGTCGTCTGGCCTGACCTGCGTCTACACCGCCGCCTTGCTGAGCAGTGGGTTTGTTTCAAAGGATCCGGGGTTTGGGACCTGAGCCTCACTTTCTTAAGCTCGTGGGTCCGAAATTTAGTTCCGAGTGTGGTTTGCCTGTCACAAGATTGGCACATGGAGGCGACATGGATGAAGCAATAGCAGCATAAGCAGTCATATGTCTTTACCGTTTTGTTCCGAATCTCAGATGTAACGAACCAGTTACCAAAAAACACCACAGTAGTGGAATTGTCATGCACTCGGCAAAGCGAACATTGTCATGTGTGTGATCGGGAAAAACCAGACTTACTGGGCACTCGCAACACCATTATCCTCACTAGTCACTATCATAACCAGATGTAGCCACTTTAGGATCTGGGCAGACCACATTGGGACTGAGACCACGATAAATCCCCCAACAAATCCGAACGTTTGTGGCCGGCCCGGCCGGGCCTGTCAGGTTGGTGGGGCAGCCTTTCACCTGGCGACAGCCGCGATGCCGCTTCGCACTTTCATTCTAGGCTCATATAGGTGAGGGCGCATTTGGTCTCGGGTTTTCGGCTTTAGAGTGTGTTGAGTGTTGTATCAGAAAGGCAGGAGAAAATCAGGTGGCCTCCCAGCGGTCCAGTGATAGTCTCCCTGCTTCTGTCTGCAGAACTACGTGTTTTCAAGCCCGTAATTTGCAGGATTGGTCAGAGCTAGTTTTGGCCAGTAATTACTCGGCACAGGTATCTGGAAGTCGTTGAGCTTCGCTGATCCAAGTCATTCAAGGAAAGCTTAGCCGCCGAGACCCGACTCCTCCGTCCTGCACGCAGCGTCTTGACCCCTCATGTAGGGTTCATGGCGTTCGAACTCTGTCACTGCCGCAGCCTGCCATGCTCTCAACCGCCAATCCACAACCATGCGCAAGCAAGGTACAGGTGATGACAAGTGAGCGACTAGGCTTCCTCCCCGGAGGGTAAGATGCAAATCGGGGATGCTGTGGGCAAAAAGCCGCACGTGCAAGTGGTGATTCCGGGGGCCAGACAGACGCTAGCTGCTAGGCAACCTTCGCAGCTCGAGCATGACTGCTTCCAACATCGAAAATTGTGCTTTCAATCTAAGCCCTTCCACTGAACGCATAAAGTTGTGATGAAGTGAGTGTAGCCTTACAAGTGGGAAAGTGCAACCTTTCGCGCCACAAAAGGCGATGCACTGGGCCTGCACGGCTCTAATGTACATCTACACCGAAGTCAAAGCTAAAACTCTGGACCCCAAAAGGCTTACAACCTTCGACCCTAAACCCCACAGCCCTAAATGCAGCCTTTCGGGATTCGCTTCTCAGGGGTTTGCTTCATGCCCTTCACGGCTGCTTGGGGAGCAGGGGCCTGGGGTTGAAGGTTCAGGCTGCAGTGTCTAAGGCTTGGATTGTAGCGGCCTTTTTGAGTCGTCGAGCCTTGTTGTTCTCCTCAAAGTACAACCGAGGAATATATGTTTCTAATGCACACCACGAACTATGCATGATTCTTTTGTCTGTTTTTTATGTTTATACAAGTAAGATGCATGAATATTTGGTAAGCCGCAAATGGGGAATGATAAATGGTGAACCGGTATGTGATCAATGATCTACGGCCGATGATAGTAATAGTAATGTATGGTTTACGGCACAGGGCATGTGACACATGGGTCTGGTGTATGGTATATGATAGGTGGCACATGGTATATGATACAAGTTGCAAGGTACCCGGTATATGCATGAATGTCAATATATGTATAGTATGAGGATATATGTATAAATGTATATCTGTATGCAAGTGTAAATGTTTGTATTTGCATATGTATTTATGGTATCGGGTTATTCTGGCATACACATACATACAGACAGTAGATGCATAGACACATAGATGCATACATGCACATACATACATATGTACATACACACACACACACACGCGCGGGCACACGCACACACACACATGTTTGTGTATAATGTGTGTGTATATATATATGTATATATATTATACGTATATATATAATATAATATATATATATATACATATTTATGTACATGTATTATTTCTTTGTTTATTTGTTTATACATGTACAGGTATACGGGTTATGGAATGTGCGAAAACGTTATATATATATACATACATATGTACACACCTGTGTATGTGCATATATATATATACACATACACACACACATATATATATATATATCTACATACATACATTCATTCATTCATACATACATTTGTTTATGTATACACACCCACACCATGGGCATGTGCGTGTATGCACGCATGTGTGTGTATGTATATCTGTAGATCTGTATGTCTGTATGTCTGTATGCCTGTATGTATGTCTGTATGTATTTATGTATGTATGTATGTATGTTTATATGTATGTATGTATGTATGTATGTATGTATGTATGTACATATGTCTGTGTGTATTTATGTATGTATGTATGTATGTATGTATGTATATTTATGTGTGTGTATGTGTATGTGTGTATGCATGCATGCATGCATGGATGGATGGATGGATGGATGGATGGATGCATGCATGCATGCATGCATGCATGGATGGATGGATGGATGGATGGATGTATGTATGTATATATGTATATTTATGTGTGTGTATGTGTATGTGTGTATGCATGCATGCATGCATGGATGGATGGATGGATGGATGGATGGATGGATGGATGTATGTATGTATATTTATGTGTGTGTATGTGTATGTGTGTATGCATGCATGCATGCATTCATGCATGCATTCATGCATGCATGGATAGATGGATGTATGTATGTATGTATGTATGTGCATATGTATGTACACACATGCATACAATATACGATATAGTACATAGTTGTAAGGTCGGAGGCTTCGGGGCACTTCAGGCTGCGGTTGAAGTATGTTTTGCTAGAGAGCAGTTCGTAGGCAACAGAAAAGCCAAGCTTATAGATCTCCGAGAAACTATGTATCCTCACGCGTAGGGGTTCACAACTCTTGGGCTTTCAGGGTTTAGGGGTCTGTGATCTCCAAGACTTCGTTTCGAGAGACGCACTCCCAGCCCTCACACCTCAGAAAGCTCAGAAAGAAGTCGTCAAGGGACACAAGGACCGGGCAGAAACCCTGAAATTTCAAGCACCCAAACCCTTCTATCCTGAAGCCTTGACTGATCGACGCCACCTGGGCCAGGAGTTGGTCAAGAAGATGCCCCGACGGCGGTGGCTAGGGCCCTGGGGTCGTTTAGGGCTCCGAAGGTTTCGTTCGTAAAGACCAAAACGGATTTCTTCGACTCAGGGTCGAGCGTCCTCAGGGTGCAGGAGAGAAATGGATGCAGTAAGGGGCCTGGCATCTAAAGAGGCTAGTGTGCATGGGTTAGCGATTTGGGCTTTGAGAGGGATGAGGGTACAGGATGGGTGTAGAGATGATTTGAGAATTTGCATTTTGGGATTCACTGCTACGTACGTACGCTGTGCCTTTGGATTCGACGGGCTTTGTGGCTCTCAATGCGTCTTTGGAATCAGAAGCTGAAACGGGCTGGCTTTGTTATCGGCGGGCAAGTTTTTTTTTTAGAAGTGGCTTCCAGACAACACCGAAGACTCAGGCAAGCGGATAAAGACCTCCCCAGGCACGGGGTCGGGAAAGAACCCTGCCGATGGTTTTTGGGCCAGGGGCCAAGGCTGGAGCAGCCAGAAACGGAAAACATCCAGAACAGATGGAAACGGGACCCCAGCAGGCCCCACAGAGACCCAGGAGGCGCGGGAAACAAACGTTGACGGGGCAGTGCAAGAGGCTTCCCCTATGATCCGACAAGCGAACAGGTCGGAAAAGACCCAAACGTCAGACAGGAAAGAGACCGTTTTTGCAGGCCAGAAAAATGCCAAGTGTACGTTTCACTCCTTCCTCTTTCTCAGATTCTCCAGTCTCTTTCGAAGGTTTCGCTCCTTTGTCTCAGACCTTCTAGTCCCTTTCGAACGGTTAGCTCCTCTCTTTCCTCAGATTCTCCTGACCTTGTGGAAAGCACAAATCGAACAGTGTGCAAAGTTCGACCGGTTCGCTACTCTTTCTAAGATTGTCTTGTCAGTCTAGTCCCTTTCGAACGGTTCTCCCGTCTCTTTCAGATTCTCTCGTCTCTTGCTCCTCCTTCTCAGATTCTCTAGTCCTTTCTTCGATCGGTTGGCTCCTCTTTCTGAGATTCTCGAGAGGGACGAACGGTTCCACCCTCAAGACCCGTTCGAAAGCTTCGCCCCTCTTTGTCAGATTCTGCTCACTTTCGAGCGGTCTAGAATGAGAGAAATAGCAGCGAACCGTTCGACAGCGCTTCAAAGTCTGAGAAATAGGAGCAAACCGCTCGAAAGGGACTACATAATCTACGAAGAAGGTGCGAACGGACCATAAAACCTGAGAAGGAGGAGCGTACTGAACAAGAGACGCTGACAAACAAGAAGGATCTTTTCGGAAGGGATTTCAGAATCTGACAAATGTTCAAACCGTTCGAAAGGGATTAGAGAATCTGAGCAAGTGGAGCGAACGGCTAGAAAGGCACCACAGGGTCGTAGGAGCGAACAGTTCGTAAGGGTCTGAGCAAGAGGAGCGAACCCTTCGAAATGGAGCAGAGAATCTCAGAAAGCGGAGCGAACGGTTCGACAGGGTATCGAGAATCTGAGAAAGAGGAGCGAACCTCTTCGAAAAGGCTTTGTCTCAGAATCTCACTGTCGAACGGTTCGC